GTGATCCAACAGCTGTCGGAAGCTGAAGATTCGATTGAAACATCCACAACCGAAGCGGTTCTACTCCTCGTGCAATGTACGAAGAATGACGGGTGACAACGACTTTTGACGCGATTAGGATAAGGCTTAAACCCATTGAATTGGCGCATTCACTGTATGGACCCCTTGTAAATATGGGAACGACAATCTGTTCTAGCACGAGGAGACCTGTTCTAAACTTTGGAGAACAGAGCCACCAAGTCTCTAGCAACCTGTATTCCACTGTCATTATATAGAGGTGGGAGAGTCTCTGGGATCTTGAAATTTGTGACGTCCCAAAGCTTGGGTCTTCGAGCGGATTGCCCTATTAGGTGGATCTGTTGAGACAGACAATAGGACGCCTACCAGAATAGCTATGTGGGAAGCAGACGCTGATGGCCAGCCAAACTGTGCCTTGAAAAGCTTTACTCAGTGCAGACTGTTGTTGCTTGAGTCCTGGCGAGCCATCGGCTGCATAGATTACTTCATGCATATCCAAAACCTTCCAACCAGTGACCGCAGTTCCTTTCTCACACATTTCTCTCGTTCCGTTTCACCACCTAACTCAGGGTGCAAATTAAGGTGTTATCGCTGGCAACTGTCGTTAGTATTTCACACACGTCAGAATCCAGACCGTGCACAACGGGACCTGTAATCTTATAATCGGACGCAACTAAATTCTTTGGGGATTCTCAATTTACTATACCTATGGAAGAAGAAGCGAAATCGTCCTGGACATAAGCCGTGCAGTATTGCAATGTGGTTTGTTCTTTTTAAATTACCAAACACCTTTTCCATCGCCGCACTTCGAAGCACGTATAATCTTACCCAGTTCAAAAACAGGGGCATATGAATGTTCCCTTACAAACCTTTTATCCTACAGTAGGTCACTGACTATGGGGTTCAGTCCCTTGGCTGTAAATCACTTTATCTGTAATGAGAAATACTTCGGAGGCTTTTCTTTTCAGTGAAACGAAACTTTGATTAGGTTCGCGGACAAATAAGTCGAACGCTTCTTCTAGGTCAAGGGGCATTGCGATCGTTGGTTGACGGTGGATGTGACGTAGCTCGAGGTCCTGACGAAATGCAAAAAAAAACATTTGATCAATACACCCACGACTAGACGGCATATCCACTTAGGTGACTGCTGTAAGTGTTGTTAGGCTTCTCCCTACACTCAGTGATACCACTTCACGTTGCGGCGCAATCCATTCACACTATTCGTAATGCATCTGGTTTTTCACCTCAGTCTCACTCTTTCGTTTATCTTAAGCGTCTTTTCTATCAACAACTGACCAGATGACCAGAGAGAGAGAGAGAGCAACCGAAATCGGACCTATGAGGCGCATGGTTAGTAGTTCATCAAGATGGAATCGGGAAACGCGCTATTGTTCAATTATCTAAATTTTCTGGCAAATCTTGTCTGTGTGTGTACATTGCGAGTGAGAAACCCAAAAATATGTGGAATTCACGGAGGCAGTATATAGGATAGTGATGGTAGTGGTCAAGCAGTTAAGATAATCAACTTATCGCCCCGGAGGACGTGTGTTCGCATCCGACCAACACCACCCAACATTTTCGTCCTATGTTTCTCCTCAGACAGCGTCCCAAGGGCCGCAACCCACTCCGTTTATGGAGGTTTTAATAGGTGTATTCGATAAAAAGAACAAAAAAAAAAAGATTATCATTAGCTATAAATTCTATCGTGCGCTATGTGCACCGGGGCGACAGATCATCATTTTAATCCAATAACTGATAGCTTGGATGAAAGCTTGACTGACGTGACTGTATTACGTGACAGTAACAGACACGATGATGAACAGTCTGAGTGCATTCCAGAGTCGATCAACGTCATTCATTCCCGAATATATTTATTTCTCTTTCTCTTGGTTTAATCACAAATCATATGGTTTTACGTGTTAGACATTTGGCACACTTGGGGTTTATTGCTAATATTTGACCGATTATCACTGTTTTTGGGGGAGGGTGAGGAAGGAAACAGTTGGCTCATAAGATACGATGAAATATCTGGAGAAGCATGAGATTTTGACTCCAACTCAGCACGGATTTCGGCACAAGCGTTCGTGTACCACAAATCAACGTCTTGCACGGGATGAGTGGACAAAATCCATCGATACAGACCAGCCATTGGATATAGTTTATTTGGATTTCTCCAAGGCATTTGATCGAGTAAACCATCAAATTCTACTGCGAAAACTCTACAACTACGGAGTGAGAGGTTTGGTTTTGGACTGGGTTAAGCAGTTTCTCCGACAAAGGACCATGTCAGTTCGTTTTGGAGATTCATTATCAGAGCCTATCACCATTACCCGAGGGGTTCCTCAAGGATCCGTACTGTGGCCTCGTCTCTCTCTCTCTTGGATTTATAAACGACTTGCCACATGTCCTTGGGCGTAATATACTGCTATTTGCGGACGACGCTAAGATCTGGAGAACTACACCACATCCTGAGGATAACATAGCACTCCAACAAACGATCGATCCAGCCCAC